TCCCCTTTGGGTGCACTGGCCCCTGATCTCTGAGTTGTGCTCCCCGGGAGCTGGTGGCACCTGGCATTCCCCTACTCACTGTGTGCTTGCTGATTGAACTGCCTGCCTGAAGTCCACCGGGAACGTCAGATGGACCAAACACGGAACTTGGCCCTTGTTCACAACACTCAAACTTCAAATCCCGACAGGGCTTTTACAGCTGTTCTTCCTTTTTCATCATATAATAATTGGAAAGGATGAAAGAACTGAAAATGATCTTTTCTAACTTATAATTAGGGGAGTTGAAACCCAGGAAGGTTTAAAGCAACTCACCCACAGCCAAGAATGGAGTTCAAGCTTCCCCATTCACAGGACATGTTCTTTCAGCTGGACGGCATTGCCTCCTTAAACAATGGATCCTAAAGAAACAGCAGATCTCTCACCTGGAGCCTGATACCCACACTGTGTATAGCAGCTTGCTGAGCTCTTGCTCTGTGCTGGTGCTTGACACAGGTGGTCCCCTTTACCCCTTGCAGTGGCTCTGCAATCTAGGTCTCATTACCCCCATTTCACAGAGCAGAAACTGGAAACAAGGATGAGAAAGAACTTGCCCACATTGCAACAGCTAGTGAGAAATGGGCTGTGAATCCCGCACGGGGGTACCTACACTTCACATTTGTTCTGTTCTACGGTGTTACTGATGTCTTTGCCCTATTGCCAAAACCGCTTTCTTGTCAATAAAATGAGGAGATGGGGCCAATCGTTCTGTGATAAGAAGCAGCCCTAAGTAGTTTTGGAAATGTGTATGTGTCGGGGAGCGGGGTTTAGGGAGGAGCTGTTCACTAGAATGACTGGTGGGAGCTACGGTATTCAGAGGGCAGCACCAGGGATGCCAAACACAGAGGAGAATAGTCCCACCCAAAAGGCTGTAGTACCCCTGTGGCAGCCAGCTTTCAGCATGACTCTAACCATCCTCGCCTCTTGAATCCACACCTTGTGTAGTCCTCTCTCATATTGTACTGGGGTTGGTTTGCATGACCAATAGCATGTGATGAAAGTGATGATGTCATTTCCAAGATTTGGTTGTAGAGGACTATGGCTTTCACCTTGGGCTCTCACCCTTGGGTGGCTGGCTTTGGAGAAAGCTGCCATCAGGTTGCAAGCAGCTATGTGGAGATGCCCACATGGTGAGGAACTGAAGCCTCCAGCCAACAGCCAGAAGAGATCGAGGCCTGATACAGACACCTGAATAAGCTGGATGCAAATTCTCCAGCCCCAGCCGAGCCTCATGGTGACTGCAGCCTGGCCCATAGCTGCGCAGTCTCATGAGAGACTCTAAACCAGAGTCACCTAGCTCAGCCACTTTGGGATTCCAGACCCTCAGAAACAGTGGGGTTATGTCACTTTAAGCTTCTGAGTCTTGAGGTGATTTGTTTTGTACCAGTAGATAACCAATACAGCCTCAATAAGAGACACTGTCAGTCTGTGATTTCTGGAGCTCTCTGGGGAGCTCTATAGATAGCAGTTGGGTTTTGAGAAGCAGTGCTGGGATCGCTATAGGAGTGTGTGCTAGGAACTGTGGCTCCACATGGCTGCCCCATAGCTGGACGCTGGGCCCCCGGCTCCTCCCTTGGCCCTGTGAGTCTGCCCCTCTCCAGGAGCCCTGGGGGGAAGCCAGGCTGCAGGAACAGCCTGGCCACTGTCTCCTGATAGTGACAGTGACAGGACCCGCTGGGCGCAGCTCCGGACCCATCACAGTCTATCCTTTATTACAGCCTCTCTTGTTTTTCAAAACCTCTTTCATTTTGTATGAGCAGACAGATGTGAGGGACTCGCAGGCTCACACAGGCTGCCGTTCTGGGAAAGAAAAAGATATTTTGGGTTTCCCTCTCTTTCTATGGAGGGCCAGCCTTCTTCTTGCTTTATTTTTTCATGGGCTTTTTAAAGGCGTGATTGTCCTCCTCTTGTAGACAGCCCTGCCCACCCCTGCCCCTCACAGCCTCTACTCTCTTCACGGGCAGGTGTCTTGGATCTGTTCTTTTTAACTTGTGTGACCTTGAGCCAATGCCGCATCTTCTTCATGTTTTAGTTTTCTCATCTGTAAAATGAGGATAGTAATACGTGCACTGTGAGATTTGGACTAAGATCCTGAACATGAAAGTACCTTGTAAACCGGCCCGGTGGCTCCGCTGCCAGGGCTTTCTGTGGCCATAGACATGTTCCTTGGCATCCCTGGGCTTCAGATTCTCCCTGTCTGCTTTCCTTCCTCCACCTAATGAAAGCCCATCTGACCTTCCAGTGGGGACTGGGAGCCAGCTGTGAGCTTTTGGGAAGGGGGATTCTACGGGATAAGACAGTCCATCTGCCCTCTCCACCCTGGAAGGCTAAAGATATGGTCTGGTCCCCAGAGGGGAGGCTGGCTGTGTGCAGTAATTGAGGGCTGTGAGGGCCTCTCCACAGCCTGACCTGAATCCCCATTAAATACCCACTGCCGCAAGTCCCCAGCTTTCTTGCAGGAAAGGTGACTTCAGCCACCCACAGCCCTGACCAGCAGGCAGAGGCAAACAGCAGCAGTTCCTCCCCTGGCTTTCCCTGGGCCCCCTCTTTTGCTGTGGTACATGTCTGTCCTTATCCTCCCATTCCCAGTCCCGGCCTTGGTCCTAAACCACCTTTCTCACCTGTCTCATCTTTCCTCCCACTAATCGTGTACTCTGCAAATATTTATGGAACACTAGCTATGCACCAGGCCCTACAGATATGGTGGGAACAAAACAGGCATAGTCCCTGCCCCCTCTGGAGCTTACAGAAGAGAACAGCAAACAGATGCCAAGCAATCACAAAAGCTATGGAAGGGATCGGGGAGAGAATGGGGCTGCAGGGATAGGGCTCTGAGAAGGGTTTTCAGAGGAGCCAACAATTCAAGGTTTAAAATAAGAGCAGGCACTGACCCGGCAGAGCCGGAGGAGAGCCCAAGGTAGCCCAAGTCTGCTGAGAGTTGGTGCTTTCCAGGAATGGGCAAGCCAGTGTCAGGGAAGCTGAGAATGTGGGGACCCAAGGGACCAGCAAGGATTTTCTAGTCTCCCCACAAGGTTTTCAGAGACTGAAGGTGGCTCTATCAGGCCTATCTCTCCCCACCTTTTCCATCACTGGGTTCCCCCACCCCTTAAGTGCTCTTGCTTCCTAGAGAAAGACCTCCCCAGGGCCAGGTAAATCAGAGTGAAAGCCCATGCCTTTGGGAGTGTCCCAGCAGTGAGGTCACCGGGCAGTGACTTGGAGAGCGAGAGAAGAGGAGTGACCAAAGAAGTGACTTCTCCAGACAGTTTCCCAAAAGACAAGACGCATGCTTACATGCATGCAATTGGTCCCTGAGATTCAAGGCCCAGTGAAAAATGACTTCTTCAGACGATCCCCCAAAAGACAAGATGTTCACATATCTGCATGCAGTCAGTCCCTGAGACCTGAGGCCTAGAGGGGCTCTCTTCCAATACCCTCAAATGCCTCTCACCCCAGCGAATGCTTTCTTCCCCAGCGTGTCGAGGGACCATGGGCCTGACTGCACTCTCCTGCAGGAGGGTGTGATGTGGCTTTGGGCAATAGTCGCAGGCAGATTTCATCTGTAATCCTTTAGTAGCCAGCAGACTGGCCTGCCACCACCTCGAGTCCACTACCTCCAAGTATGTAGGGACAAAGCAGCTGTTCACAGGGCCAAAAACCCATGCAGATGGAGCCGCATCACTCAGTCCAACTCACGGAGCCCTACTCTGCACCAGGGACTTTATGGGAGGCAGTGCACGACCAGACCATGCTTCCTTAACATTCATTCTGGATTTGTAGAGAGGCTACTACGTGCTGAGCACTGCACAGAACCTAAATGGGGAGAGCAGCAGGAGGTTCACAAAACAGAGCAGATCAGGGCTGGCTGCTCTGGTCTTCTGGGCTGTGCAGGGCCACCAACTCTTTCTAGTCCCTTCCCCCTGCATATCCTCCTGAGGCTTCTCCCTGTCTCTGCCTGGAGCCCCAGGACCCCTCTGTCCTCCTCTCTTGCCAGTTCACCCCCGATGATACTCCTATTTAAAAATAAATCACTGCGATCTTTAATTGAAGACTAAATAATTGCTTCATTTTATTTAAATGTGGCTCTTGGAGGCTCTGGGAACAATTAGAAGAAAACGTAGGGCAGTGCTGGGTGCATGTTTCCAAGCATATAATTTTTTTTATTATTATCATACCGAGGTTCGTAGGGTCTGGAAAAAGAAAGTGTGCCCCTCCTCCCGAGTTAGTCATGCACAATTTACATGCAATAATAACAATAATGACGATAATAATAATAATTCCTGGCTTTACTCAGATTCATGCTTGGCTCCCAAGGAAGCTGGGCAGTCGTCACCGTGCTCTTTCCGGAAGGAGAGAGGTAAGAGCTGCCCCAGCTGTCTCTCTGCAGACCTTTTAGAAGTGACAGCAGCCTGGCCCTTCTGTCAGGGGCTGGGTTTTAGGTGGGCACAGAGCTGACCTTGCATGTGTGTGCTCTAAGTTCTGAGAGGTTCCCCGCTTGGACCTCACACCATGTCTACAATTCCACTCTTCATTCAGAGACAGCGTGAGAGCCGGATAGGGCCTTGGAACTCGTCTTTTTATAATGGAGGCAGCCAGGCCCCGAGAAGTAATCTTAGCCTCAGGTTTCAAAGCATATTAGTAATAGAACCATAAAGAGGACCCGGCATGTGAAATAGGTGAGCAGGGTCCTTGGAACCAGAAGACTTGGGTCCAGCCGCCTCTCTTGCTACGTCACTGTTGGTGCAATCCTGGGCCCATTTCTTGGTCTCTTTGTTCCTGTTTCTTGTTCCGGAAAATAAACTAGAAAAAATAATAGTTGTTTATCAGGAGAAATCAAGAACGGAATATATATGCAGAAGCTTCCAGCACAGCACCTGTGCACCGTGGAGGCTCATCAGCATTTACCTGTTCTTTCCAAAGCTCTGCAATCTTTAGGAGTCTGCTGTTTACATGCAAATGTCCCTGAGTCAGGCAGTGCCTTGGACTCTGGGCTGAATGACTCCTGGAGGATAGTAGTAAGGTCCTTGAACTTGGAAGGTACCTATGGAGAGGGAGGAGAAGGAAGAGGAAGACGACATCCCCCCAGCCCTCTGTCCAGCCTGGTCTTGCACGGGCCATGCTAAGATGCCTTTTCCTCCCCAGTCCTGCTGGTTTTTCTCTCTCTCCGCTGTGGGTCCCAACTGGGCCTGCCCAGGTTCAGCCTGGAAAAATGGCCTGTTGGGCTGTTTCTTCTGCATTTATTGAGCACCTACTATGTGCCAGAAAATGCTAGATACTAAAACTGCGAAGACAAATAAGTGATGTTTTCTGCTCTAAAGGAACTTAAAGATTATGGTGAAAGAGACATTTAACAGCTGCATGTGTTGTGATATTAAATGACAGGGCAGAGCCACCTGCAAGGATCTATGGGCTATGGGACCCCGAGGAAGGATGGAGAGGAGCAGATTGCCCGGCTTCTGGGGAAATCCAGGGGGCCACCTGGGGAAGCCACAGGTCTTAAAAGACATGCAGGAATTGGGCCAAGGCAGTTTACAGGGAAAAGAGGCAGTGTGGTCTGTGGCTGGGAGGTGGCAGTTCCGTGTGAGGATGACCTCAGTAGTTCAGAATGTCAGCTTCTGCACTGTGAGGCTGGAACAGTGAGATACGAGGCCAGAGAGGTGGGCAGAAGTCTTCGTAGATGGCTTTCCAACACCCATGATGAGGACCTCAGGGTGTGGGAAAGCAGCGGCTGCCCTGCTCCGGAGTCTTAACTCCTCAGGTGAACTGAGGGGCCGCAGTTCGTTCTACCGCACTTGGCTGGCTAAGGCAAGACAGAGCTGAGGGGCCCCTCGTTAATCTGTGATTGACCACGTCCTCTGGGCACAACAGGGCAGGCAACTTTTTTTAGTAGAAGCTTTATTGAGATATAATTCACACACCATGCAATTCGCCCATGTATATGATTGAATTGTTTTTAGTATATGTTTTTAGTAATGTATATGATTGAATTGTTTTTAGTATATTCATAGAGTTGTATAACTTTTACAGAACAGAGGCAATACTTTAGCTTAAACTTGTCTGCTGAGCAGAGAATGGAATTCTGCATGGACTCAAGGAACAAAAGGAAACTAGACGGGGATGAGGACGAGGAAAGTGCCCATCTGAATCAAACTGCAGCTGCCATCAGGGCACATCTTGTGATGCTCACAGATTGTAGGCTGGTTTTTGGAAGGTTCAGGTTCAGCACAGGATTCCATTTGTCTATTTGGCCACATCCCTGGCTGAGGTGCCATGAGGTCAATGTCACTCAAGTTCCTGGCCAGCCAAGCTCCCACAACAAAGAGTCCCAAATTGAGGATCGAGTTCCTCCAAAAGTCATTCCTAACAGTGGCAAAGCGGTAGACTCCCCGAAGCCAGTCTCCCACATTGTCCGGTATTTCGGGGGTTTCATTAGCCGAGCCGGCAGTGCTCACCGGGACCTGGCTGGAAGCCATAATAGGAAGCTTCGCACGAACCTCGTTGGAGGAGCTGTGAAATAGAATCATTTCTTAACTTCACTTTTGTATTGTTGATTGCTAGCATATAGAAATGCAATACGGTTTGTGTATCGATCTTATATTCTGCAACCTTGCTGAACTCATTTATTTGTTATATTAATTATTACTGGATTCCTAAGGGTTTTTTACATACAGGATTATATAATCTATGAATAGAAAGAAGATAGTTTTACTTCTTCCTTTTCTATCTGGATACCTTTTATTTCTTTGTCTTGCCTAATGGCCTCGGTCAGAACCTCCAGTACAATGTTGACAGAAGTGGTGTGGTGAGAATGGACATCCCCATTTTGTTCCTGATCTTAGGGAGAATGTATCCATTCTTTCATCATTACGCATGATGTTAGCTAGCGGTTTCTCACGTAGTCCCTTTATGGGGTTAAGGAAGTTTCCCTCTATTATGTTGAGTGTTTTTATCCTGGAGGATTGAATTTGTCAAATGCTTTTTTATGTGTCTACTGAATGATCAAGTGGGTTTTGTCCTTTATTCTATGGATGTGGTGTATGACATTAGTTGATTTTCTGATGTTAAACCAGCTTTGCATTCCTGGAATAAATCCCACTTGGCCAGAGTATATAATCTTTTTTATATGCTTCTGGATTCAATTTGCTAGTATTAAGCAACCATTCTGATGTAAGCGTTCCTTAGGGACAGAAAATCACTGCTGTCTCCTCCTAAAATATTCTATAAATTCATCTGTAAGACTCTTTCTTACTTCCCTTGGCTCCATCTTTCCCATGTTAGCCCACGAACTGTGAGCTGATGACAAAGAGAATGGTCACTTCTGAGCCCCCTGTCTTTTAGGCTTGGCTCAGATATCATCATGGGTAGAAAGCTCTTCCTACCAGCTCCCCAGTAGCTCCCCTCTGTCCACCCAGGAGCACTGACAGTCCCTTCACCTCACCTGTGCTCCCATTCTTGGCCTGTAACTTCCGGCAACACCAGCTGCATTCTCCTGTGGTTGGTTATTCAACTTTGTCTCCCCTGCTAGAATGTTGGCTCCTTGAAGACATTCATGTGGGGGAGACTCCTGATCCCTGCTGACATTCAACCTGGATGTAGTCCCTTGGATTGCTGGGTTCTGGTGTTTTATAATTGGAATTTCATTCCTTTGACCTAAGAATTTGTCCCAGGTTAAAAAGCAATAGATCAAAAGAGGTAATATTCTGCCCTCAGCAGTCACACCCAACTTAGGATGAGTGAGTGAATCCATCCTTTCTGGAGAGAAGGTTTTGCTCAGGAAGGAGGAAAGTGGGGTGCTGAAGAGGGAAAGAGAGAGAAGATTCTGGGGTCACTGTCAGCCCCCGGGCTGTAACTACTGTTTTCCTGAAACTTATCTATAGTCTGTGGGTCCTCTTAATCCCACGATGTTTCACGGTGCTAATTAATAAGGTCTTGTTGGTTAGAATGAAAAGAGATGCAGAACTTTTATTATCAACCTCAAACTAGGGTTCAAATCCCAGCTTTTCTACTTATCAGCTGGTGACCTTGAGTCAATTATTTAACCTTTCTCTACCTCCATCCTTCATTTGTAAATGTGGGATAAGAATAGTACCTACTTAATAAAGTTTAGCTAGAATTAAATTAGTCAATGAATGTACAAGGTGTGGATAGTATAATGTACTACCTGACACATAGTACACACTCAAGAGTGTCAGCTGTCACCATTATTAATAGGAGCCAACATTTGTGGCATGCTATGTCCCTGATAGGCTATGTGCTGCCTGGGGTCTATATTTGTCCTGCTGTTGCTTTGCCTGTGACCCTAAAGTCTCCTGTCCCTATAGAGCTGTTTGTGTTGGCCCAGCTCTCTTGCTGTCCCCAGAGACCTCCACATCACAGATCCAAGTTCATTCTCTCACAGTCACTACCAAAGCACACCTCCATGCTGGGGGTTTAGCGGGTCACCAGCTCTCACTGTAAGTCCCTCTTTGGGGATTGTGGGGTCCTTTACCACCCTCAGATCTGCTGCAGTGTTACCCTGACTTACTCAGCAGATGACTTTAACATCAGACCTTGTGAAGAAAGAGTGGACATCTTGCTTGGTCTTTGTCCTTCCAGAAGCCTCTTGAGTTTCTCAGATGCGTGGCGCCATCTCCCTCATGGTCACACACACCTGGGATAGGGCAGCCTCTCCAAACACAGAGACAGCATCCTGAAGGGCCCTTTGCTTGGGTCAGGAGTTACCACTGACCTTATATTTATATAAATAAACATTGAAGTTTACTATGAAATAAATATAAATGTTATCTAAGGGATTTTTGCTATACTAACAACAACAAATTGCTCCAAGGTGATGTCCCTCCTCTCCCTTCCCCCACACAGAATATCTGGCTTCATAGTTTAAATGCCACTTCCTAAAGCACCCAGTCTCTCTCTCTCTCACTCTCTGTCTCTCTCTCTGTCTCTCTCTCTCTCTCTCTCTCTCTCTCTCTCTCTCACACACACACACACACACACACACACACACACACACACACAAAACCTCATTTAATCTTTACAACAGTAGGGATTATTACCCTTTTTCTAGATAAAGAAACTGAGGCTCAAAGAAGTCGAGCAATCTGCCCAAGCGTTTCAGGCCTAGAACTAGTACTCCTGACTCCTGGATTGTCCTGTTTCTCGTGGGTGGTGTCCTAAGGCCGCAGTGCCTCTGGGGATGATCCATCAGGGAGGGTGGCCAACCATGGCTGCCTGACCTGGGCTGAGGATGTCAGGCACGGGTGAACTTCTCTCACTCAATATGGTGGAGTGTGCATGGGACCTGTGGGTGGGTTTCAGCTGGAGAGGCTGCAGTGGCTCAACTGGAACAGGTGGGGAATGTGGCTGCCTCTGCTGGGACCTGCTGTCTGCTGCCTCCCTATCTTTTTTGTTTTACTTTGTTTTGTTTTGTTTGTGTGTGTATAGCATAACCATGGCCTGTTCCCTCTGTAGAGGCTCCCAAAGCCTCTGAACAATTCCCCCTAACCCCTGGAAGCTGGGGTCAGGTGCCAGCCCTGTGTCTAGGCCCTGGGAGGGCCTCCCCTCTCCTGCAGACCTCTCTGCCCAGTAAGGCAGCAGGAGGGGTGCGCTTTAGGGCTGAGCAGCAGCTGATCGGAACGGATGATATGATTTCACTCTGGTGTGTTCAACAGTGCGGATCGGACAGGGAACGGAAACGGGAAGGATAAGTGGGAAATAAATCACCCAACTTGATTTAGTCATAATAGTAAGGAGAGGGAGATTGTGGAGCTGCGATCCGCGCCTCGATCAGAGTCTGGGCAGGAGGGTTGTGGGGGCAGAAGCTGGAGCTCCCTCTGCCCCGCACCAGCCTTCTGAAAGCTCCTGTGGATGGAGTCACTCTGGAAAAGGGAAGGGTGGCAGGTGAACATGGATGGTGTGCTCTGAGCTTGCTAGGATCCCCGAGGCACAGAGTCCTGCACTGCCTGGCAAACCTCTGCCCTCCAAGGGCAGTGGGCAAAGGGAATACAGTGGTGTGAAGGGTCCTGATCCAATCTGCCTCCTACCCACGGAGACCTGCCCAGCCATGCCTGGGGAAGGAGCTCTGCTTACGGAGTTTCTCAGAGGCAGTTAGGGTTGGCAGGGAGGCAAGGGAAGTGCTTGGGGGAAGCGAATCCCTCCTGTTTTTAATGCTTTCCGGAAAGCACCTTAGCCATTTCCTTTTTCCCGTTAGAACTGGGCCCACCTCTGCCAGTCCAGCCTTTGGGGATATCCAGAGAAGTTATGCCTTCCCTCTGCCCACCCAGTTCATTCTCATGTTTTGCCCCTTGGAATGAGTTCAGGTTTAAACTGGGGTCCTCCTGCCACACTGCTAGGCCTTTCCCCTGTGCCTCTTGTGGAGTGGTGGATGATGGTTGACATATTCCAGGCTCCTTGTTTCTGTGAGCGAGGCTCAAGTGTAGAGTGTCATGGGGGTGTGGAGAAGGGCAATGATTCTCAGAGGCCTGACATTAGGGAGAAGACAGCTTCGGTGATCCAGGAATATCTATTCCAATTCACTAAGGGTTATCCGCTCTGGCAAGTTATAAAATACCATTTCCACTGAGGTTGTAGAATTACTTACAGGAGCCACAATGAAACCAGACAACCTTTCAATCAAGCTGCCTGTTGTTCCCACTTCAAGGCTGGTGAAATAAATACTGAGCAAATAAAGTTAGTCGGCATCTGAGCATTTTAATGAATAAAGAGTAGCAATAGGGCTGGGGATCTGGGGGCTGCTGTACATCCCAGTGGACGGGCCAGTGTGCCAGCTCCAGGCAGGGTGCCTCCTGCCACCCACCCTCACCGTCCACAGCCCAGCGCCCTCTTCCTGGCATGTCTTCCTCATTCTTCTTTCCCTCTCCGGTCCAGAACTCCATCGCTTGTCTCATGTGGTGCCTGGCGGTGCTGCCTGTGGACCAGGACCCAGCCAGAACAGGGGACCCAGTGACTTGCCCTGTGGCCTCAGCAATGTGCATCCTGCCCCTGAGGAATTGACATTCTCAACACACTGGAAGGCCTTTGGGGTCAGCTTACTGCTCTCTATAAGGCTAGGGTCAGAAAGGCTAAACTCCAGATGAGGTGAGATGGGAGGGGGAAATATGTGGTGATGGCCTTTAAAGAGGGCTTTGAAAGTTGCTCTTACAGCAAGGGGAAGAAAGTGCAGGGTTGCTGCTAAGCACAGCTGGTGTAATGTTAATTGGAGATAAAGGACCAGCCATAGCCAAGCTCTGTTTTTCCTCCCTTCCTCTCTGTCTGTGAATAGGGTTGTTAGTCCAGGAACAGTAACACAGACTTGAGCAAATGCCCTGAGCCCCAGGTGGTACAGAGGTGGGAGGTGATAATGTGGTTGAGCCACACAGGTATGTCTTCTGCCTCCATCATTTCCTCTCTCCCAGGGTGCTGGGAGGAGACGCTGCAGATGAGGTTGCTAAATCACCTGCGGTCTCTCTGGGGAACT